CAACCCATCCCCTCTTCAGGAGAGTGTTTGAGAAACACAGATAATGGAAAAAATAATACATATTTAAACCACACATGTAACACCAAGAGAACCTTAAAGCAATCAATCTTTTTTAAATAAGAAAGAAGCAAAGTCAATAGCATCTGAGCAACAGATGAGAATTAAAGCAAAATCTGTTGGCTAATGGTAACAGCTTTGTGTTCTTTGTTGTTGAAAATGTGCATGTAGCAGCAACTCCAATATGCTCACAAACTCAGATGCAAAAGGCTATGGAAAACAGTTGCTATTTTTACATGGAAGATAAAATCAAACACCACCTTTCAGATTTTAATTTTGCTAAAATCGTGGAAAGAAACAAAGCCTAAGGTGCTAAATGTCTAAAGGATCCAGGGCCTGTGATTTCTACTATATGAAAATACAGAATATATTGGACAATAAAAGGAAAGAGCCAGCACTGTATTATGGGCAATGAAGTATGAACCTGCCAAATCAAATCATCTAAAATAAAATATAAAGTTAAGGTTTAATTTAGTAATATTCTAGAAAATGGGATATGTGAAGCTCTAACAGTTTTTATATTTATAGGCTATTTTAGTTAAATCCTTCAATAGTGTTTTTCACTAACACCTTAAAGAAAAAACTTCTTTATATATTACTATATTATAAAAGTAGTAATAATAATTATGATAACTATATTAGTTTTCTATTGATGCTATAAGAAATTGCAACGAACAGAGGTTCAAAGAACACAACAGGACTAAAACCAAGGGGTTGTTACACTGCATTCCTTTCTAGATGCCCCCCAGAGAGAATCCATTTCCTTGCCCTTTCCAGATCCTAGAGGCTGCCCACACTTCTTCGTTCATGGTCCCCTCCCTCCATCTTGAAATTTGGCAACACTACATTTCTCTGAATCTCACTTCCACAGTCAGCTTTTCTTCTTTTACCTTTAAGGCCCCTTGTGATTACATTGGGCCTATTGGGGAAAAGGCAGGATAATCACCTTATGTTCAGGTCAGCTGATCAACCACCTTAATTCCATCTGCAGCCTTAATTTTCCTGTCATGTAACATAATATTTACACAGATACTGGGGGTTAGGATGCAGATATCTTCGGGGGTCACTCTTGTGTTTACTACAATAATTAAGATTCATTGAATGTTTATTGCTTGCCATGCATAGGTCTAAGCATTACAGCCAATAAAATACAATTCTCATAAAAATGGTAATTCTATTATGCTTCTCATGTTTCAGATGAGGAAACTGAGACAAAAGAAGTTAAAGAACCTGCTCAATGTTACAGAGGTGGAAATTAGAGTGGCCAGGATTGAACTCGGAAATCCAAATGCAGAACCTGGAATTTTCACCTCTCAACTCTATCACTTAAAAGACAAAATTTCTTATCTAAATATATTGCAATTACATGTTGTCATTATCATCAAGATGGTTAACTCACAGTTCATAAATTCTGGCAGTCCTAATAATTATCTAGAATATGGGCAAGTTTAAAATTCAAAATGGCAAATGGAAGGACAGAGTCTACAGAGGCCATCAGGAAAAATGTCTATTGAGAGATCTGACCCAATCTGGCATTTACTAGACTATAGATCATATTCAATAAAATGTATGGGAGGCCATTATTTTGGACTGAGCTGCTTCATTAGGCCACAACAAACCAGACCAAACCAGAATGGAGTCACTCATGCTATGTGTCACATAATCAAACTGAACTTAGAAATGCGTCAGTTTTCCAAAATACAGGAGATTCCCAGCAACAAATCAAGGATGACCAGTGACATGGGATAGGATGATAAAAAGGTCCCTCTACTTTAACCCTATAAGGAATGTAATTTTGAAACGAGCAATCTTCTTTTTGTTCCTTGCTTCTGCTTTCTTCAGTCTTTTTCTGCCTATGGAGCTCACACCTTCTGCTCATCTCACTCAAGTGCCTTTCTATTCTGTAGATGGGATGTGGACCAATTTATGAATCACTAATAAAAGACAAATCCTTAGAACTCAATTTGCTGAAATATTGTTCTTTTTAATGTTAATTTTTTGAGATGGGGTTTTACTCTGCTGCCAAGGCTGGAGTCCAGTGAAGGCATCATGATTCAATGCATCTTCTACCTCCCAGGCTAAGTCAACCCTCCAGCCTCAGCCTCCTGTGTAGCTGGGACTATAGGCACATGCCATCATGCCCAGCTATTTTGTGTTTTTTTCACTTTATTTATTTATTTTTTTTGTAGAGATGGAATTTTGCCATATTGTTCAAGCTTGTCTGGTAACTCCTGGGCTCAAGTGATCTGCCCCCCTGGCCTCCCAAAGTGCTGGGATTACATGCCTGAGCCACTATGCCTAGCTGAAATTTTGTTTTTTAATAGTCAGATACTATTACGATATCAGGCCTGCTGGGGTAACCTCAGTCCAGGTGATAGCAGGACCACACCAAGTCTTGTCATAACACATCCAGGGGCAACAACACTCTGAAGATTTTGTGCCTGAGGAAACTCGTTTAGCATTTCATGAGCATTGGAAATGTAATGGGAAGGCTCACTGGTGTCAGGATTATTTATATTCCCTAAATGTCACTTATATATGGAATGATGGAACTTTCCTTTCTATCGGGAAATTTCCATTGACAATCGCAAAATGAGAACAATGGCAGTAAACACCCAGCATTCTTAAATGAGATATCTCCTAAGGGTTTCATAAGAGGTGGCCAAACTAGCCCCTAAACCATCATCTCCCATCATTCACCTTCAGCCCATGGAAGAGAAGTATAGAGATCAATTAATTTGAGAAGAAGTTATAGGAGTAAGGAAAGTAATAAAAAGGGGTACTTCTGCCTCTAACCTGCAACAAAATACGTGAGAGGGCTACAAGAAAACCCCTCAGGGAATTTGGAGTTAGTTATATAAAAGGAGATTGTCACCCCACTTCCTACCTGTTTATTTTGTGACTTGCAAAAATTGACTGCCTCCTCCCTTCCCTATGCCTGAGAGCATTCTTTGGAGAGTCTGATGTTTGCTCCTGGAGTGAGGAGGCCCAGAGCTGGTTTGGGTCGTGCCTGGAAAAGTCTGAAGATGCAAGGCTGGTTGGAACATCTCTATGGTGGGGTGAGGAGAAGTGGAACGGTAGGAAGAAGCTGTACTTGCATCATTTCGAGGGGCAGGAGATCAGGAACTCTAGTGATCCAGGTCGATGCTGTGGCAGTAAGCTAGTCTAGAGCTGTCTCAGACTGGCACTGTCCAAGAAGTCTACCAACTGTGGTAAGGAGACTCAAGGGTATATGTCTGAGGTCAGAGGCTTAGGGGAATAGGTCAATGGGAAAATGATCTCTATTAGTGACTGGTACAGTAAGGAGCACTCTAAAAAATCCAGAAAAATAGCCACAAAGGTTCCTTGATGGCCAGATTACACCAGATACCCAGTTAAGTAAAATTCTACCCTATTGAATCTTGTCTTTCTTTGTCTCCTGGTTCCAAAGACTGAGAAATTGGAGAAGGTAGATTTCTGCCTCCCACCATACCATAGGATGCTCCTTGTGGTTCAGATCCAACAGGCAGAAAGGAAAAAAGCTTTGATTGATATTGGATTAAACATTTTAGCCCCCAACGAACAGGCTGTTTCTTTTACCCAAAAGTCACCAGAAACCTATCAGCCAGAAAGCGGAGATAACGTCAGGGTGTGGTGAAGGCAGCCTCAACAGTGCATACTTGAAGGTGAGAGAAGAAACCAAGCTGCTTTCTGACGGTGCCCTGTTGAGCCCTGCCTAGTCAATGGCTATATAGCATATGAAATCTTGTCTCACAACTATGCTGGATCAGTAGAGGAAGTAGGCTGGCCTCATTTTAAAAGTGAGGAAAGTAAGGCTCAGGGAAGCTAAGCAGTATGTGTGAAGCTCCGTTACTCCTATGTGAAGGGTCATGGCTCCACAATGGGGCATCTGACCCCAGACCCAGTGACATCTCCCCTGTATCAACAGCGCCTCTGCAGGTGACAAGTGATGTGCCCAGTGGCCCAGCCACGGCACACCTAGAGTCACAGGGGATGAGGTTCATCTACCCTGACTCCCATACTTCGAGAGGTGTTCCAGGGGTAACATGTAGGGCTTCCCCACCTCTCGCTTTCCCTGTGCTGCCAGTGGAAGTACTTATTTTCATAACACTTTGGTACAAAGGACTGCAGGCATTGTTCGTGCCTCTATTAAGCATTGGCCTTTCTTTTATGGTGTAATTATAGCTCATTGCAGCCTTGAACTACTGGGTTCAAGCCATTCTCTGGCTTTGGTCTGCTAAGTACTTGGGGCTACCGACGGGTACCACTGTGACTGGCAATTTTTTTTTCTTAGAAATAAGGTCTCCTGCCTGTAATCCCAGCACGTTGGGAGGCCAAGGCAGATCACTTGAGGTTAGGAGTTCGAGACTAGGCTGGCCAACACAGTCAAACTCCATCTCGACTAAAAATATAAAAATGAGCTGGGTGTTGTGGTATGTGCCTATAGTCCCAGTTACTCAGGAGGCTGAGGAAGGCGAACTGTTTGAAGCTGGAAGGCAAATATTGTAGTGAGCCAAGATTGTGCCACTGCACTCCAGCCTTGGTGACAAAATGAGACTCCATCTCAAATAAAAAAAAGAGAGAGAGAAGAAAAAGGCTCTCCCTACATTGCCCAGCCTCGTCTTGAACTCCTGGGCTCAAGCAATCCTCCCAACCTGCCAAAGTACTGAGATTACAAAGGCTTGAGCCACTATGCCTGACATAGTGTTGACCTTTCTTTGACAACAAACTTAGGGCAGTGTCCTGTCATCACGGGAATCTTCCCCAGAAAGCTCATCTGCCTCTGCAGAAAGACAACAAGCACAGTCACAGTTGAGAGCTGTATGCATTTAGCTGAAGATGAGGGAAAGTATGCACTTTGTTCTGAGTACATATAAAGCCGTTTCACCGGGAGAAACAAAATGAGAAACAAACCCAACTTTGCCTTCAAAGCAGGCCCGTACCTCAGCATGGCGCCGAAACCCTTCTTCTTTATTTTCCTTTCTGGATTTTCATTCTCCTCTTTGCGCTTTTTCTCCTTGACTTTCAATTTGCCCTTTTCCTTTTTCTTCTCCTTCTCTTTTGCTTTTTTGACTTTTCTGGCTTTATTTTCCACATCTTCTAGCTCCGAGTTCCCCTGAGGGGCAGATTCACAATTCAGAGCTCCTTGGCCAGAGTGAGAGCTCTTATCAGACAGACCGTCTGTACAAGAAAAAGAATCAATAACCTTGGTCAGGGGCATGGGCAGTTAATATACAGTTATGCAAACACGTAAAATGCAGAAGAATGAATAACAGCACTCTGGAGTTCTACCCTTCCGTGTGGTTACTTGTGCCCTTTGAAGATCTAACTGCCTAAATCTGGTTTCTTCAAGCAAGATTTGATGCTGGGAGTGGGGAAAGCCAGTTGCTTAGCTGGTAGTATGAAAGGCTTGATATATGTTCAAGTACTAATCTCTCTGAAAGCCGGCTTATTAACCTCGATCAGCTCAGAAAGCCCACACGCTAGGAAACAAACAGGGTGAGAAGAGAGTTTTGAGGACAAAACATCCCGACTGCTTCTACCCAATTAATGCAGTCGGAGTCCTTGGATTGATGCTGCCTCTAATGACTCGAACGAGAATGTCAAGAATTGCATACTTAGTGCTCCTATCCTAAGGGTAAGTGACAGCTGGTCCTTGTGGGAAAGTAAAGGAGAACATTTCTTTAGCCTTGCACTGTAAAATAAATTGCATATTACATTCTCCAATTCCATGTTCGTTAAGCCAAAGGGCAAAACATATCAGGAAAATGAATTACTTTTAATATCAAAAATATAATTGTGATCCTTAAATCATTTTTACTCTGTAGTTAAGCACACATTCTTGCCCGTGATTTGCAGATAATAATGAGACGAAGAAACCATTTGGGGAAGCAAATTGTCCTACCAGCTTCTAATTCTTCAGGTCCGTCGTAGGATTTGTCAATGGCAGCTCTAAAGCTCTCATTGCAGCCTCGGCCTCGAACCATGTGCGGACGGGGCCTGTGAAAGGGAAGGTCATTCTTCCGAACCTCAGCCACTGCAGTCTGCAGACTCTCCAAGGAGCTGGACTTTTTCAAACCCAGAGTTGGACCAAAATCTTTGCTTGGAGATTCTGGAAAAGAAAGGGCAAAAGGTCACCCCTCTCCTAATGGGGCAGTGTGGCATAATGCTATTTTTCTAAGAATATTTCTGTCTGGACAGCCCAAAAAAGGGGTGTTAAGTAGGTGGGAGTTTGGGTTATACTCCAGGTTTGCCACCTTTTGTGACCTTGAACAAGTGGTTTGACTTCTCTGAGCCTCTGTTTCCTTTTTTAAAGTTATGATAAGATTTAATATGACTATATGTATATTTCTATGTAGAAATGTATATGCATGTGTCTATATGCACATATACACACATATGAATTTAAAAAGTTGTAGCTATTTATAGAGATTATATGAATGTGAATGAATATGATGTGAGTATACACACACACATACATGCAAACTCACAGACACACATACAAACATACAAGCACCTAACATGATGAGAGCTTCTCTTCATGTCCTGTGCTAGGCACTCCACACATTACAGCTTTTATCATTGCCGTGGTTGCTCATATGATTAGTAAGAAACACACTGGGCATGGAAATAAAAAAACATTGAAGTGACTGTGATTTTTGTAATTTAACACTTTACCTTACTCTACTGGCTATTAATGTATGGTAAATGCAATTTATTTAATCAATCAATCAATCAAGTAAAGCAAGAAAGAAAACAACTTTTCTGTGTCAATGCTATTGTTCTGAATGTATTCCTATTTGGGCATCTAGAAAAGGAGAAACCTTTTATGCAATATAAAATTATAAAACAGAAAATATAGAGCACACCTGAATTTTAATCATCTCTTTTCTGGTGTACAATGTTTTTCATTTATGCGGCCTGCCTTGCCCTGTACCTGCCCCTCTTACTCTATTCCCTGACCTCCATTCTCACCCCCAGCTAGTCTCCCAATTATCAATAACAGGATTAGGTTATATAAACATTAGCACCACAAGGATTATCTTTACGATGGAAGGAATTCTATCAGGGCTCTTGTTTCCACATTCAAAGCTTTTCCACCAGGGCCACAGTTCATGTGCCTTTCCCGTTATGAAGGAGACTACTGTCATGAAGAGGCCATGCTTGCATTTCTGGAAATAAACGACTGTGCCATTTGTCAATAGATGGAGTACCCATTAAGAATTACGTATGCAAAGTACCTACTTCAATGTCTAGCACCTAGCGAGGCTCAATAAATGGCACTACCTTTTATTACTATCGTCACTATTTTTGCTTCTACTATCACTGCTGCTATGAGCACTACTGCAAGCAGCTTAACAGTATTTAGGAAAACAAAAGAAGTACAACATAGGCCTGATGCATATACATAGCCAAGTGAAGTGATATAGCAATACAGGCCTTTTCATATAATCTGAGCATGTTAAAAACAGTCAACATAATGGTAATAATCCCAATAGCTAACAATGCATGAAGTGCTTAGTCTGCGTTAAGCACTATTCTAAATGCCTCGCCCACAATAACTTACTATAATCCTTACAGTTGTGCTACTGGTACTTCTGTTAGCCCCATTTTACAGATTCAGAAGTTGAGGTACACAGCACTGAAATAACTTGTTTAAAGTTACACACTTAACAAGCATCCTGACCAGGAGCTGGGCCAAGGCAGCCTAGCTCCAGGTTTTCTGCTATGTACCATGTACTTTACTGTCTAAAGATGTATTTGGTCTCCACCCTCTATTTGATTATGGTCAAACAGCTTAATTGCCCTACATTTTCCTCATTTATAAAATAAGAATATTAGGCCATATTAACCCTGGGGCCTAGTCCAGTAGGCAAATTGCAAAAATTGGACATGCTTTATAGCTTAGTCATTAACTTACAGGAGACAACTTTGCACTTTGAGTAATCTATAGGATGACAATAAACACTGCATGTTAGAGGTGACAGTGTATATTCAATAAATGCAACAGAGATAAGACTAAGCAAAAAAGATGCAAGAAATTTCAGGGACAAATTTCAAGTATTACTTGCAAGTCATAAATACTGAGAATATGTTACTATTAACTCCAGAGAGAGGCATATATCTTATTCCCAGGAAGGAAGATAAGTTGAAGAAACAGTAATTGAATAAGATCATTTCTGACAAGAAAAAAAAGGCATCACAGAGGTTTGGGGGTATTGAAGCACTAGTAAAAGCTTTGGAGTTTACAGAAAATATTTTATAACATCAATGCCTAGGATGTCTGACGTGAAGTTTGGTGAAAACATGAAGATGAAAACTGAGAAAGCCCTGATTCTCTGTCAACAACAGTAACCATCTTTTATTTATTAATTGCCATTCAGGAGATTACATTAGAGCCCAAACTGTAAGCATTCACGTCAACCTTTAGCAATAAATTCCAGGGAACATGAAAGTGAATAAATTGTCCAAGATAGAAGGCACATTATCTAAAAGGAGCTCATCTGAAGCTCAGCAAGAAGTCATAGCTAAGAAGAAACAAATACACTGTTACTCATTCTAAGCAAACTGAACATTAAGGATTCATGGATTTTGTAAGATTAATAGAGTTGGCAATTAATTCACTCTATATAAATAGAAGTCACAAAGTAGAAATACTAACTGATGTTGGGCAATATTACAACCCAGCCCTACTGGATATGATATATGGTAATATGAGAAGCAAAAAGGGTGGTTGAGTCCTTAGGTTGTAAATGTAGACTCTGGAGTTTTCAAGATTGGAAAAAGAAATTCTATTTATTTCTGGAGAATGCACAGGATGTAGTGGTAGAATAGGGACTGATGTTAGGAAAGAGAACCAAAATCAGGAACGTCCTTACAAGGATTTAGAGGTACAGTGAACTGACTGAACTGGGGCTCTGACAAGGACCTTCACCAGGGGTCACCCTGTCTTTCATATGTTTGAGGGCTCCTAACAGAAGGTCAAGGCTATCTGCCATGAAAGGGATTATAATTTCAATCGATAGTCATTAGTGTTAAATTCCAACAAAACACTTGGAATAAAATATTCTCCCCGTAAAGATTGTATGGAGTACAATAAATTGCCACATTCAATCCCTTCTTCCCTACTCTTATTCTTACCAATTTCAGTTTAGGTGGATGGTGCGTAGAAAATTTTGGAAGATTCACTGTCTATGTCTAGCCTCACCATTTACACAAATCACATTTTTTTTCAAGGCTTTCACTAAAAGCGGGTGTCTCAAGTAGAGCTCTCTTTCAAGTGAGTAATTTTTCAAAATCAAAACCTTAGCCATTTGATCCCATTGAAGTTATCCCAAAATATGATGACTCTTCATATTTTCATCTGTAGCTGATGTGGTATCAGTTGTGGCTTCTACGTTCATGTTCTTTAAGACTGAGATGAACGGATCCTCCCCTCACAAACGTGAGCTCAATATACACAAGGTTCATGAAACAGATGACACACAATTATCGAGGGTGCTAAAAAAAGGATCTCACATGATAAAAATTGTTCTCAAGGTGGTATAATAAAAATATTCTTAATGTCAGCTACCCAGTTTTCTCTTAAAATTATGGTCTCGTATAAAAATGCCACTGAAATACTGTATTTTAAAAAGATATTATAGCACTTTTAAAGCTTCCATCTGTTTCCAAATGAAGGATTGGCTTGACACAGTCCCAGAGTAGAGGAAAATTTCAGGGTCATATCTTCCGGACAAATCAATCCTCAGATACATCCCCTACTACCCTCCATCCCCAAAAATACAGCGTTACGAAAAGAATGAGCACGCACGCGCGAGCGCACTCTCTCTCTCTCTCTCTCACACACACACACACACACACACACACACCCCAAGACTAAAGATTTAAAGAAGCTGTGCCACACAAAATGCCCACGTCACCTGTAGACATAAAAAGGGTGGCAACAGGCCCATGAGAGAGCTACCACCTAGTTGGAGAGGTGCCACTATGAGACTGATTCTTAAGATGCTAGGAAACTGCTGCCCCAGCCTTCCAGGTATTATGGAAAGCCTGATTTCAACATGCTATGAAACAGAAGGTTCTTCCTGGAGGATTGTTTGGATGCAGGCCTCAGTTTCCCTGACTCAGTCTTGGATTCCTGCCTCTGCCTTACAGCTAAGCACTGCTGTTGCTTCTCTAAGGCAGATGATTTGAATCATAGAGAATAAAACTGTCTAGGATGTAGTAGTCAATACTGAATGATTAAAAGGAGGCTGTAGAATATCCAAACATTCCCCGCTCTGCCAATTCCTTCCTGAGTTAATAACCTCTTTGTGCCTCAGTTCCCTTATCTATAAAATTGAGGACAGGAAAAGCATAGAAGAGTCCCTGGCACATGGTGAGTGCTCATAAAGCATTGGTGATCATTACTGTCCCAGTCACTTTTGTACCACCTCTAAACACTTCAACGAGTGAAATCTTAGATTTGTTTCAACCCATCATTGAATTCTTAAACATGACCATGCATTCTACAAAACAGCTAAAAAGGGCTTCATAAAAAATGCTTTCCCTTTTTATTTAAAAAGGGAAAGGACCCCTTAATTTTTTTTCAAACAATGCCTTACATTTCTTCTTTTGACACAGGTATATATATGTTCATCTGCTCATCACATATAGAGGCTATTGTTGGGAAGATTAATAGTGGAGTCATGGTTGCTCTTCTCCTTAGGCTATAATCACTTAATTAGTCTGAGATTTAATTGGCAATGTTTGAGCTTCCCACTTTAGCATTAAAGATCTCTCAATAAAGAATGCCTTAATCCAGAAGACCAGTAATTGGATCTTCCATTATTGATGAAATTGCTTCCAATACACCCATATTAAAAAATGAGAAATTATTTTAGGGAAGGTATTCACTTCCAGATACATGGCAAGTTTTTCTCCCAGCTAGAGCTTTGTAATTAACAAATACTTATGATAAATTAACAATAAATAATGTATTAATTTGTACATTTCAATAACATCAATGGCCCTCAAGGCACTTAGTGAAAATTAATTAAGTTAGAGTCCTTCCTTCTAAAATAAAGGGATTGTGCCCCATAGTAAATTAGGGATCAAGATTATTATAAT